GGGCCGGTGACCATCCGGGGGTTTTGGGGGGGGGGGGGGGGGGGGGGGGGGGGGGGGGACAGGGGAGAATCGCTACTTCTGTGTGGGATGAGCCCTGGTCGATCGGAGAGGCTTGAGGAGCGGCCCTGAGCAACGCGAATGTCAGCCGGGTGGTATGCTTGCCGAGACTGCTGTGCCCAAGGTTGCACAGGCAGGCGGGGGATCCAATGCAAAGGGTTTCAGGGGGGCGGACGGGGCAAACGCCCTGGGACCACGTATGGCCCTCTGCTGCCTCCCCCCCCAAGAAATCACCAAAGAAGCATGCACATTCGTACCTGTACTGAAGGTAAAGGGCAGAGCCGGCCAGCAGGAAGAAGGCAGCGCATGGAAGCAGGGCCACGACAAACATCGGGAACATGCCCTGCCATGGAAGAAAGGAAGAAGATGAGCAGCGGGCATGAGGCATGTGGGCAGGGAGACCGTGGCGGTGAGAGATGGATCTCCAGAGTACGTACACAAGCTGAAACTATACCACCAGCTTCTCAACGGGCCAACCAAGCACAAGCAGGAGGAGCATGCTGCGTGGCCTGTATTTCCGGCTGCGCCGCCTTCTCCCGATCACAATATGAGCCTCCCTTTCCCACTCACAAAAGCAAACGTGAAAATGGCAGCGAGCTCTAAGGCCACAACTGTGGCAGCGGGAAAGTACGAGAAGGGGATGGCGCGGGTAGGCATCCCCGCAACTGCATGGCGTTGGAGGTACGAGTGGACGTGTGTGCTGGTTTCTGGCCGGCGGGAGCAGCTGGATGACGGCGTGGGGGCAGAAGTGCAAGTGACAGCACCACCGCATAGTGTGAGCGCCAGGGCCTCTCATAGTGCCCTCCCATCCACTTAAGTCAAAGTATGGCCGCTGATCGCATCCCGGAACTCACCTTTCACGAGACAGAGCGAAGTCCCCATGAGGAAGGCCATGGGAACCACAAAGAGGGCTATGAGGAAGGGTATAATATTTAGGAGGAAGCACATCGCCACCAGCGCAGCAAAAAGGGGAGGAAATGCGACGTCCAGATGCACGAGGTATGCTCTATCGCAAAGAGATTGGATGTGGGGGTTGAGTGGACAGGTGGGCAGAGCAGGATGACAGCCATCCACCATGCCCATCACCCAGTGTCAAGGCCCAATTACACACAGGCAGCCCACCCATGGGAGCCCGAGGACTACTCAAATTTCCAACAACCCAGTCTCTACCTCTGGTACAGCTCCCAGCAGCTCTGAGCTTCCTCGGACTCCATTGGGTCTTGCTCACCGCACTTCCCTCCCCCCGACGCATGCTTGCATCTTGGAGCCGGCTCCACCCTGCCGTGTGTCACATCCACGGTGGCAGACATAGCCTCTGGACCCCCTCGAGCCAGGTGATCCAGCGCCTGGCGCACAGACGCCTCGGTCATGGGGCCCTTGCCGGCCACGCCATGCGAGGCCAGGCGCTCATTCAAGCGTTTGGCTACTTCCTGGAAAACCCTGCTCTGCTGCTCTGCAGAGGCCTGAGCGGTGGGCTGGGGCTGCTGGGAGGGACCAGCCTCGCCGTTCTGAGCAGCAGTGCCAGGTGCTTGAAGGCCGCCCAGCCCTGTCAGGGAAGATTGGCTTGCCTGCGTGGTTGGGGGTCGAGCTAGCGCCTGTGGGACGACGGTTAATGCCAACGCATCCAACGAGAGCACCACATACCATGCCGACCATCACCTTGGCTGCGAGGAGGGTCTTGCTGGAGGTAGGTCGGGGTGGAAGACCCAGCCCCAGTCCTGCCTTTGGCATCAGACCCAGCACACGGAGTGTGTGCTCGAAAGAACCATGGTACAGAGGTAAAATAATCTGCAATGCACCTACGCGGCTGTTGTCGTGGTCACGAGATCCCTTTCCACACCCAGGGTGAGACCTGGGATGTCGCTGAACTCTTTACCATTTCGGGCGCCACGGCCGGCTTGCCCGACCTCGCTGGTCGTCCAGCGCGCCGAGATCGCTGGGTGTATGTGAGCGCGCCAGGACCCGACTACCCTCTCCTATTCTCACCCTAGCACACCTGGATCACATCCCACGCAGCGAGCTGGCACATGCAGTGAGTTCGGGGGCGACGGGGCCCACCTGCACTCCTCCGCGCTCGCTCAGCCCCAGACTGGCGTCCCTGCTGCGTCCAGCCCTGAGGCTGCGGTCTGGAGTATCGTACCGAGGCCATTTTGCATTTGGGATAGTACCAGGACCGCGATCTGCCTGTCGCTCCACTGGGGTCCAGTCGGCACCGGCCGGCACCAGGGGAATGGCAGTCTCACCCCGCCTGGAGCTGACCTCCGAGGAGCAGCAGCTCTTTGATACCCTCCTGGCCGCATCCAAGCAGGTGCATGTGTGTTGGGTAGCTGGCTGTCCTCACCATTCCTGTTGTTACCCAGGTCTCCGCGCCCACACCTGGCCAGACCAGCATCATTCCCTCCCAGCTGGACCTCTCTTTCCCCCCCTCCCTCCCCCCTCCCCCCCCCAACCACACGCGCCCCATCCCACCCACACAAAACAACAACACCACAGGCCGGCTTCCCCACCACCCTGCGCTGCGCGGGGGGCTGGGTGCGCGACAAGCTCATGGGCCGCGCCTCTGACGACATCGACGTGGCGCTGGACGACGCGCTGGGCAGTGCCTTTGCCGAGGCGGTGAACGGGTACCTGGCGGGCCAGGGGCAGGGCGTGCACAGCGTGGCGGTCATCGCCGCCAACCCGGGCCAGAGCAAGCACCTGGAGACGGCGCGCATGCGCGTGCACGGCCTCTGGCTGGACCTGGTCAACCTGCGCTGCGAGGAGTATGCCGCGGGGTCGCGCATCCCGGCCATGCGCTTTGGCACGCCGCGCCAGGACGCGGAGCGGCGCGACTTCACCATCAACGCCCTGTTCTACAATATCAACAGCGGGGAGGTGGAGGACCTCACCGGGCGGGGGCTTGCCGACCTGGAGGCCGGCGTCATCCGCACCCCGCTGCCCCCACGCCAAACGCTGCTGGACGACCCGCTGCGCGCGCTGAGGGCCGTGCGATTCGCCGCGCGCTTCGGCTTCGAGCTGGAGGAGTCCCTGGTGCACGCCGCCGCGCACCCCGAGGTGGGAGGAGGGTTTGAAGGGGGGAGGGGGGCGTTCTTGTGGGGGGGATGGGAAATCTGGCAGGAGCAATGGGTAGGGGAAGGGGGGGGGGTTGATGCCTCGGCAGGGGCCTCACTCCCCTCCTGCAGCAGCAAAGGTTGCATGGTGGCCGACCAGCCAGCCACACCAAGACTAGCACTGCGCTCCGCACCATTGGGGGCACCGCCCTTTTGGGATCGTGCGGCTGGGCTCCACAGCCCACTGCCGGACCGACCAGAGCCTCTGCACCACTGCACGACGTTACAAGTGCTGCGCGGCATAGGCACTAGGTCACCCAAGGGCATGTATGCACGCCCGCTCCGCGCGTCCCGGGACTCCCTCCCGCCCCCTCAGGCCTGTGCCTTGGGATCCTCCTCCATGGGCACGGGACTGGCCGCGCGGTGGCCGCCCTCCGGCAGCGCCGCGGCGGTGGCGGCGGCCTGCGGCGCGCGCATCGCGCGGTACACCAGTAGGTAGGCCATGTGCCAGTCGCCGCCGCCTGCCAGGGCCAGCACGTCGGCCTCCTCCCGAACCTCCATGCGGTCGTCATCGAACAAGATCCAGCGCCCATCGCCCTGTTTGACCCAGGCGACATAGTGCCCCGAGTCAGCGCTGCGCCCCTTGTGCGTCAGCACCCCGCACAGCTCGTACCGCGCGGTGAGCGCGCCGCTGTTGGCGGCGGGAGGGGTGTTTGCTGCTGCCATGGTGGCGGGTGCTGGGGCATCTGCAGGCCCCGCAGCCGTGCTGGGGCCGGGGGCCGCGTCGCCTGCCGCGGCTGGACCGGACCCCGACTTTGTCGCGCCGGCCTTGGCATCCTCGGCCGCCTTGGCCGCCTCGCGGGGGGCCTTGAGCTCGGCCTGCAGCTCGGGGCTGCAGAACTCGAAGACGTCGAGCTGCGCCGGGAAGGCCACCTAGCGAGGGGGAGAGGGGGAAGGGTCAGAGTGGTGCAGCTTCAGTCCTGCCATTCGGCTGCCGATGTGCCAACAGGACTACAGGCCCGCGCTGCCAGCCCCTGGCGCCAGTTGCACCCCGCCGGCTGTCACCAGGTCTACCAGCGCCGCCCAAGAGAATCCCTCACCTTCCTCAAGATCTTGGCCTTTTGCTGGACGTCCGCCTTGTAGTAGAAGCGAACCATCTGCACCGTCAGGTAGGGCGGCAGGGCCGTGATCTGGGACGACCCGACAAACGGCGCGATCCTGGTTGGAGGGTTAGGATTGAGAGGTGTTGGCGTGAGGCAGGGCAGCATGGCATGAGGGACGGCTGCATGGCATCCTGGGCCTGTGGAAGTAGACTGCTTCGAGCCCTGCCAGCCTGCGTCCTTGACGCCATCCACCCCCAATCCCCGTATAGCCCACGCAAATACAGAGACACAACACCCGCTCACCTCCCCAGTGCAGCGCTGGTCTTTTCCCGGTCCTCCTTGAGGCCGAGGCGGATGCCGTCGGCCAGGTGGTTGACCTCAGCGCTGATGTTGCACTTCAGCGTGTAGGCCGTGCCGACCTCCTCCAGGCTCTCGCCGCTCTCGGCGCAGGTCAGGCGCGCCGCCAGGCGCACGCCGAACAGGCGCTCCACCGCCGAGCCGGCGGCGGGGGAGGACCCCTGCAGCGTCTCGCGCAGGACGTACAGCAGGTTGGTCCAGCACTCCTCCGCGTCCTGTTGCATGTAGTAGCCCTCCCTGCAGTACATGGAAGGGTGGGTGTGCGGTGGCAAAGGTGGTGCATGGGGGATGGGGGGGTCCGTCTGTGGGATTTGGGTTTGGGCGTGCAGAATCGTCTGCATATTGTGGCACCGGTTGCAGAAACAGCCCCATGCTGGGACAGGGTGGCAGGTTGCACGAGGTCTGCTCCCTGCAGAGGCGTGCCTTGGCGAGCTCTTGCGAGTCATGAGCATACATTCCTGCAGCCCCCTTAATTCCCCCTTCCACACACACCAGCGCAGGGCCACCCCCACAAAAATCTCAACCCACTCCATGCCTTGCCTGGCCTGCTGAGCAAACTGGGGAAACTTCTTGCGGAGGCTCAGGAGGAAGGCCATGGGCGGCACGGGCTGGGCCGAGGTGGACAGCGAGGAGAACAGTGACTTTGTCGCCGTGGTGAGCGTGGCGTTGGGGTCCGTGGATGTCAGCGAGGCCGCGGCATATCGTGCCAGGCTGAGGGATGGAGGGGGGTTGAGGGAGGAGTGAAGGTGAGCTGCCTTCGTGTACGATCATGTGGGGTGTCCCAGGGACACCTGCCCAGGCGGGAGGCCCAGGCGGCGCCATGCTGTCAGCGACAGCCTCATGCCAGCCTGCTTTCGTGCGTTGGGTAACAATCGGCTTGTTTGGCCCCCAAACATATTAACTGTCCACCAGTCCCATTCCAGTTGCCAAGCACCCCCCCCCTGGGACCCTTCTTTCGTTACTCACTCCTCACGCAGCTCCTCCACGCCATACAGGCACTGCAGCGTGCTGTTCATGTAGCAGGTGTTGCCCAGGTTCTCCAGCCCCGCGCCGTACTTGCTGAGCCCCATGACGTCCTGCTGGTCCTCCGGCAGGTCCTCCAGGAAGGTGGGGGCCTGGGTGGGGGCCACCGGCACAGCCCCCGCAGTGCCCAGCATCGTTATCCGGGACCCGTCCTTGATCCCCGTGGAGCCCCAGTCGGCGTCGTCCCGGAGCAGGCCCCCCTTCAGGCCCATGATCTTCTGGCGGTCGGGGGCCACCCCCGTGAGGGAGAAGAGCTGCGTCTTGAACACGGCGGGAGGGGCGGAGATGTCCACCTCCAGGTCCTTGAACACCTCCTTCTGCCACTTCACCTCCACCCGAACCATGGCGGTCGGCGGGGCAGGATGGAATGGGAGGTGTCGCGCTTGGGCTCCTGGACTGATCGCGGGCTCTGTCACCTGGGGCCGAGGCCTGCCGCGGTGTCGATTCAGTAGCCCAGCGCTCTCTCGACAGCAAATGCCCACCATCGATCGCAGCTTTGACGGTTGAAGATGCATTTCACGATGCCGTCCGAGCGGCTCGACCTCGCGTGGCATGCGCAGCACGTTGCCGTCCCTCATCCCCTCCTCGGGCCGCATGGGTTCCTGCAACTGATCATGGCTATTCTCCCGCTTTCAACCTAAGATCCCCAACCCCTGCACCCTTCAGTTATCCTCTTCCCCACGAAGTACTCCTCACAAAGTATTCCCTCCCAACATTACCCCCATGCACAGATAGCGTCTGCCCTGGAGCAAAAGGTCAGCCGGGAGCGGGTGGGCACTGAGGTGGATGGCATGCTGGGCGGCCCCAAACCGGTGGCCGCCCTGGACCTGCTGCGCCGGCTGGGCCTGATGCACGCCGTGTTCGGCCACGACCTGGGCACCGACGGGCGACCCGGGGTGGCCTGGGAGGCCCTGCGCCTGCTCGACCTGGGGCTGGGCCGGGAGGCGCGGCGCGACCTGATGGCCGCGGCGGCGCTGCTGCCGGTGCGGGAGGAACGAGTGCCGGCGGCCAAGGGCAGGCACACCTCCCTGGCGGCCAGCCTGCTGCGCACCGCCCTGAAGTGGCCCACCCGGAGTGGGGAGCGGGTGGAGGCCCTGCATGCCGCCGCGCCCCAGCTCCTGCAGGTCCTGCAAGAGGGCCTCCGGGTGAGGACTTCATTGGGGTGTGTGTGGAGGATGAGGGGTCCACAACTGGCGAGGTGGGAGGGGTGGGTGTTTGTGCACGACGCATGGTGCAGTGCATGGGGAACCATGACCCACGCCGTGACTCCTCCCGCACCCCAACCACCAGAACACGCCCCGACCATGCACACGCGCGCAGGGGGAGGACGGGGCCGTGGGCAAGGAGAGCCTGCAGGTGACCCTGGGGCGGTGCCTGCTCGCGCTCAAGGACAGCTGGCGGGAGGGGTGCCTGCTGGGCGCCCTGCTGGGCAGTCCCACCGACCCTGCCGGCACCGCAGAGGGCTGCCGCAGCCTGGTGGCCGCGGTGGGGGGCTGGGGCCTCCAGGGCTGCTGGGAGTGGAAGCCGCCGGTCAACGGGCGGCGCGTCATGGCGCTGCTGGGGGTGAGCGGGAAGGAGGTGGGGCCGGTCATGGCCGCCATCACCGACTGGCAGCTGGCGCAGCCGGGCGGGAGCGCGCGGGAGTGCGAGGCGTGGCTCCTCACGCAGACCAGGTGGGCGCCCAGTGTGCGGGAGGCGACAGCGCCCGAAGCCGGGGACGGCAGCGTTGAAAAGTGACGGCCACACACGGAGTTGTAAGATGCAAACGGGGCCCATCGATCAAGGGGTTTGGCCAGGGTATTTGAGCGAAGAGCCCAGGTCCACCCCGGGCCTCGTCACGTTGGGAACACTGGCACAGCGCACGATGAAGAGCAGACCGGCAAAATGCCAAAAAAATTTTGGAACCATTTCTCGAACGAAGCGTGTCATCCTTGCGCAGGGGCCATGCTAATCTTCTCTGTATCGTTCCAAGTTTATCATATGCCCGAAGGCAGAATGGAATGAATTTGTCTGGTATATGTACCGTACCTATCGGTATGTTCTCGGGTTATGGGTGGCCGCCGCGAAGGCAACTTGCTGCATCGCATGCGAAGAAGACACCCCTTTGGCATGTTTCGAATGCATTGTCGACAAATCGAGCATTATACCTGACATAAATAGCACTTTGGGCTTGCATATTTGCAGAAGAGGTGGGTGCCCTGGTGCGCGTGGGAGAAGTCGGCTGCGCCTCAGATGGCAGCAGGAAAGCTCATGCCGTGGGGCAATTGTCCCATGTAACATGTAGAGCTACTGCAACACAAAAGGACCTGAACTGGTGGTGCATGTGCGGTGAGTGGGTGCCTCTAGCGGAGTGGGTGGCAGTTGGGAAGCCCTCGCAGTGCTCGGTGAATTGTCATGACTCCGTATTCGAGCGGTCGACATTGATTTTGAGATCTCTGAAGATGCTGGGTCGCAGTCTGATTGCTGGTGTGTGTCGCCCACCGAGCACGGCAAGCTTTGCATGGGGTTTGGGGTCGAAGAAAGTGGGCTCACGCTGGGGGGGCCCCTCCCCCCCATCGATCTCGACCAAGCTTCCCTGGTGCATGCACACCTCTTAATGTCAATTAGGTAGCAGATTAGGTCGCAGACGGCCCGAGCATGTCCCCCGACTCAAAGCATCGCCACAAGCGGGCTCTGGGTGATGTCGAGGACCTCGTGCGGGGGGCGGTGGAGAAGACGCTGCGCAGGGGCGATGCCTCCTCTGCCATCTATGAAGCCATCTCCTTGAAGCAGGAGAATGAGGCCCTCCGGGCCAAGCTGACGGAGGTGGAACGGATAGACGACGAGGAAATCACCCGCCTCTGGTCCATCATAGGTGGGCGGCGACGGGGGTCCAGCGCCGGATAGCCACGCCACCCGTGCCCTGCTTGCAGCTGCTAGCGCGTCGCGCTTGCCGACGGGCAGGGTCCCGCCGCGATCCAGCCCTCCAATCCCTCCTCCATGTGCCACCTTCGTGCAGGGGAGATGCACAAGGTGGTGCGGGAGCGGCGCTCCGCCCCGGGCCTGCCCGCGGCGCGCGGCGCGGCCGCGGACTCGGTGCCGACGGCCGAACTGCGGCGCATGGTCGACGGCGTGAATGCGCAGCTGGCGCAGCAGAACGCGCGTCTGGAGACGCGCTTCGAGGCCATCGGCGAGACGCTGCGTGGCCTGAACGCGAGCATCGCGTCCCTGGCCGCCGCCAGCTCGGCGCTGGGCCCCGCCGGCAACGGGACCCTGCCGCGCCTGGGGCCGGCAGCGGGAGAAGGCCCTGCGCCCTGGGGCGACGGCCCCCCGCCGCCCCTGCTGCAGGACCGCACGCACGCAGGTGCGGGCCCGGCCGCCGGGGCGCCGCAGCGCATCGCTGCCTGGCCCGCGCCCGGCGCCCGGGACGCCGGCTTGTCCGCCTCGCCGCCGCCGCTGCCTGTCGAGCCCCCCCACTCCGTGCCGGGCGACCGGCCTGCGCAGGACGAGGCGGAGGGGGCGAGGTGCGGGACCCCCGCCAAGGTCACGCTCCTGCTGCCGTCGGCGCCCGTGGACCCCTGCCTGGGCGCGGAGCAGGCGGGGGCGGCCCTGCCGCCGAGCACCGTGCACCTGACCGCGACGCCGTCCCGGGGCCCCCGCGTCTCGCAGCGCGACCCGCGCCTGGCCGCACTGGCCACGCCCGCCGAGCAGGGCCCCGCCTCCCCCCGCCACCGGGAGGAGGAGCGGAGGGGCACCCCCAGCCGCTCCGGCCACTCGTCGCGTGCGCCGCGCGAGTCGCGGTCCGTGCAGTGGCGGCCGCAGGGCGAGGAGCCCGAGGCCAGCGCGGGGTCGGGGCGCGGCTCGCAGGCCGCCTCGCCGCCGCGGGGGCGGGATGCCAAGCGGCGGCGCGCCTCCTCACCGCCATGCAGGCCCACCACCTTCTCGCCGCCGCGGAGGCGGGGCGAGGCGGAAAGCGCGCGCGGCTCGCCATCGCCGCCCCCCGGCCGCCGCGCGCCGACGCCGTCGCTGCCGCACCCTCGCGCGCCCTCCCCCGTGCACAGCCACCCGGAGGACCACCCGCCCTCACCCGACAACTACGACCACTCCTGGGAGCAGAGCCAGCCGGCAAAGCAGGCGCTGCCCCCGGCCAGGCTGCCCTACTCTCTGGGCAGCGCCGAGACAGGTAGAGTTTGTTTTTACGTAAGGGGGGAAAGAGGGGGGGGGGGGCCGGACCGACGTGCAGACACCGGCGTGGGTGTCACGTCGTGAAGGGGGCGCTCGATGCTCGCTGGGCGCTTCTGGGTGCCTGTGCGACCAGGCCGCGCGAGATGGCAGGACCGTGCCCTCCTTCCCCTGTATGAGCACCCCGCAGATGCGCAGCTCCCTCCCCGCTGACCGTTTCGCGGGCCGACGGCGATGCGTGGAGCTGGGAAACTTCACAGATTCATTTTGCGCCCTCCCAGCACGACAACGCACCCCTCAACCCCTTTTAACGCGGTGACCACCCCCCTCACACCAACGCAGATGCCGAGATGACGTACGAGGAGGTGGCGGAGGCGGCGGAGGCTGCGCTGGGCTGCCCCGCCTGCCAGGTGGCCCTGGGCAGCTACCGCGCATGGCTGGTGCACCAGCGCGACCCGGCGCACAAGCTCAAGTCCATGGCGGTGCACTGCGCGTACCGCGGCACCGGCTCCGTCACCGTGCGCGGCGACCGGCGGCCGGCGGAGGGGCCGCCCAGCGTGGAGCAGACCAGCGAGGACAGGAAGCTGGTGTACGCCTGCCTGGCCTGCCGGCGGGTGATGGGCGCGGCCGACCTGCTGCACCACTTCCTGTCGGGGCAGCACGAGCGGGAGTGCGAGGCGCAGCTGGCGGGCCTCGCGGGGGGGGGGCGACCATGGCGCTCGGCACGCGCCTCGCCGGCTGATGACTTTCTTGCCAGGGACCTGGGAAGTCGGTTTCAAGTTTGTGGACGTGAGAGTGAGCGCCCAATCTCGGCCAAGCGCTCCCTCTCGCACTCACTCGCGCCTTCGGCAGCTGCTCGCACCTCGGCCAAACGCAGCAGGCCTGACCGCATTCGACTTGCCTCACCCATGCACCCCATTCTACCTTCATGCCAGAGTTTTGCTTAGTTGTGGTGCCGAGGTACCTGTCGCTGGCACCCTTGCAAACCCGGACACCACTCAGCAAACAAACAAGTCACGGCAAGCGGGGAGGCGGCCGCGGGCCTAGCGTGGTCCCCTGCGCCAGCTGCTCGGCAGCCGCCAGGAAGCCGGCCAGCTCGTTTGGCGTGGGAGGGCCGCTGCCGCGCCACCTCACCCTGCCCGCGCCGTCCACGAGGAAGACGTACCTGCATGCGTCGAGGCTGGGTTGGGTTGCTGTCAGGGTGACGGGGAACCACGCCAGGCGCACATGCAGCATACACATCCGAGATGGGTGCTGTGCTCGTCGAGCCCAGAGGGGATGCTGCAGCCAAGCCGGGATCACAAAGGTACCGCACGCCCCCCTCCACCCACCCCGTCAGCCGGTTGGTGAGCCCCAGGGCATGGCACAGCGGCTTGGCGTCCCCAAAGTGGAACAGGTACTGCACGGGCATGTGGTACCGCTCCTGGCTCGCCGTCCCGTTTTTCAAGAGCAGGCTCCGGAACGGCCAAGCGCGCATGACCTGACTTGCGAGGAGGGGGAGGGGATGCTTGGATGGTGGTATGATCCTGGCCAAGTGTGCAGAGGCAGGAAGGTCATGCTGTGGGTGTCGGCTGGCCGCACAAGACCCTGCTGTGCCTCAGCACCCCCTTGCATTCCCCCCTTCCTCTCAGCGCCTCCGTACCACAGACTCTATAAGTGCGAGCTCCACCAGTTGTACATTAGAGGCAGACTGGAAGGCTTCACTGAAAGGGACAGACCAAGCCTCAATGAGGTCCTGCACTGGAATGATGCACACGATGAGCCGGGTGCATGGCTGATGGGCCCCCCGCACAGAAGCAGGCTGCCCTCCCAGCCAGCACGAGCCTGGTCCCCAGCCAGGCCTGACACTTCTCCCGTCTCATCACGACGACAGGCCCTCATGCTCAGCCATCGTGCCATCCACCCTGGAGCATATGCTGGCCATTTGGGCTCCCCCGGACTTGCCTGAGCGCCAGCTCGGAAGGCAATTGCAACCAGGGTGACGCTGGCGGCTCCCTGGCTGACTGGGAATCGGATGGTGGATTCATCGGGGAGCGAGGCCGTCAAAGTGGGAAAGGGCTGGGCTGAGGCCACAGGGATGAGGCGGCTCTCGAAGACCTTGCCGTGCTGATCCCGGAATTCCCGGAAGTCGTCAAAGTATCCTCGCTGCAGATCCTCCTGTTGGTTGGTGGGGTGGTGGACCCAGGGTTTGGAATATCCTGGCAACAGGGCAAAAAGTGCAAAACGGGGCCGCCACTCCTTGCATGACAAGAGCATCTCCGGCGGCGCCAATACAGGAACCCTGCACCATGCATTGCCCCTTGGAGGCCAGTAGAACACCATACTCGACCCCAACAACTGAAGCCCTTGCCATCCCACCTGGAGCTCCTTGACCCGCTCCTCACGGCCCTCTTTGCGAAAAATCTGGCAACAGGAGGGAGGGGGTGCATGAGCTCCCTCCTCGATTATCTGATTTCATCCCTGGGTCCATGACGCCATGGAGCACATGTACCTCGAAAAGCTTAAAACTACGATGCTGGCCGAGACACGCTGGACTCCCGAATATGGCGTGTCCTTGTCGAGTGTTTCGGGGAAGGGACCACAATTGGCGCAACATGGTGCTAGGAATTTCACGATTTCATTTTACAGTATCATGTTTACATTGCATCGGAACAGCATTGCTTCAGAAAGACGTGGTCGCTCGCCAACTCGAGCTCATTCTGCAGGGCGCGACAACGCCCTCTCTTCCTCGAGATCTTTTCAGCGATGTGTGAGTGACCTGCGAGGAGGCTTATTGAACTTATACTCACAGGGAATGGCATTGGCAGCGGTTCAAGGCCTTGATCTCAACGCTCGTCGGGACTGATCAGTATTCAAACTGGCCATATCCAGTGGCAACATAGTGTGCTTGCCCCCGGGCATTCCCTGCACTTCTTGATCTGCTGGCTGTCATGACGGGGATCTCGCTGTCGACTTGATCCTCGAAGTCAGAAGCTAGAAGATGGCGATGGTGGCCCGTCAGTCTCGAGGAGGGGGAAAGCCTCCCCTGCCACCCCCCGCCACCGCTGCCCGCCAGCGCGACGACACCCTGCTCTTCGAGACGCCCGAGGAGCTGCGCTGCCCGATCACACACGACACCTTTGTGAACCCCGTGCTCACGGCTGGCGGTCATGTCTACGAGAGATCGGCCATCGAGCGGCACCTCGCGCACCGGAGCACGGATCCCCTGACCGGGGCGGAGCTGCCCAACAAGTCCCTCACCCCCATCTACATCCTCCAGTCCCGGGCCATGGAGTACAGGGAGGCATCGGCACGGGCCTGCATCGAGGCTGCCAGCGAGCCACCCCCGCGAGAGCCAGGGGCGCACAGGCCCATCGAGTACCTGCGCAGGGGTGTCGAGCTGGCGGCGGGCACCAAGCTGGCCATCCCCGGCCTCCCCACGGAGACGCTGGAGTACGTGGCTGCCCACCCGGGCAACGCCTATGATGAGCTGGCCCTGGTGGCCTTTGCACGGGGGCTCTTTCTGTCTGGGTAGGTTGACGGAGAAGGGGACGTGCCGTGAGGGGACATGGGGAAGCACAGCACAGTTCCTGGTCATGAGCGCGCTGCTGATCAGTGGGAGACCAACTCATCCTGCTGGCCAAGCCTTCATCACGGCAAACCCGCGCAATGACTCGTGCCCGCTGGATGGAGCCTTGGGCGGCACTGCACAGCCACCCAGTGACCCCCCCCTCACTCCCACCCCTCCGCGCAGTCTGAGGGACAGGGCAGCCCACGTATACTTTTCCCTGCTCCAGGAGGCGCTCTGCTCCAAGTCTGACGTACCCCAGGCGGCCGCCCTGCTGGCTCAGTGCATCGGGTGCTGGGCCGGCGAGCCGGGAAAGGGCGTGCATGTTGATGCAGATCGCCACGTGATCGAGAAGCTGTCGGGGCTGGTGGCCACCAGCGGCCAGGGGTCCGGTCAGCAGGCTGCCCTCACCTGGACCCAGGTCGTCGACCTCGCGGGCACGGCCGGCCTCGGCGACACCTTTGCGCTCAGGTGGGGGTGTGGGGTGGTGCGTTTCAAAAGGGCGGGACGGGCAGACTCGCCCCTGGCATGTGTGTTTGGGTGTCGAGGGGTCCAAGTTCAGAAGGGATCACAGGGTCAAGGGGTCCACAGGCTGGGCTCTCTAACCCCGCACCCCCGCTACCCCCCCCGTCCTACCAGGCAAACACTGACGCCTGCGCATTCTTCACCCTCCCTCACCGCAGCCTGTGTGAGCACCTGCTCTTCCGGCGGGGGCCTGGCATGGCCCCACCAGTAGGGCACCAGCCTTCCCCCGCCCAGGAGCAGTGGAGCCTGGAGAAGAACCTCCTGCTCAAGTACACAAGCATCCTGTGCGGAGGTGTGACGCGGAGCCAGGCCGCGTTGGAGCGCAGGCTGCAGCGGCTCGAGGATGGTGTCAGGGCGAGGGAGGGCAGCCCCGGAGGCAGAGCCGAGGTTGCTGCGCCCGCCGGGGCGTCACCCTTGGCACAGCAGGTGGATCGCTGCCTGCATACCCCCTGGCTGCGGGCAGCTGCTGCTGCGGCGGTGGTGGTGCTGCCGCAGGGGGATGCATGGCTGGCTCGAGGCGCGAGATCGGCATGCATCGTGCTCCTGGTGACCAGTCCGCAGCCGCGATTGTCGAAGTCGTTGGGCACTCGCTGCCATGATGATACATGATCCCCCTTTGTACATACTGTAACTAGATTGGAAGCTTCAGAGGGAGCCATTGATTACATGGAGCAGAACCCAGGGCGACGAAGTGAGACCTTGGCCCACGGGGCGTGCTGCTGTGCGTGACGAGCTCTGACACGCACGCATGCGAGACAGGTGTGATTGGGTTCTGGAAGGCAATGCTATCATCCGATCAGTCCCATAGATGCCTGCATCGGCCATTGGGGATTTGGAAAGCACAATTGGTATTATCATCCTTCAGTCAGATCGCTCGAGAGCAGGCGACACAACCATCCCGACCTGCGTGATCAAGGAAGCTGGTCTGGTCGACATGAAGACACTGAGCAATAGGGTGGCAAGCAGCCTGCTGCTCCTCCTCGTTGTTGCACAGATCGCATTTGCAGAAGGTCCCCCCAAAGCGACTCCCCGACGGGGGGACATCAAGTACATTCAGTGCGCCTTATGCGAGCACCTGGCCAAGCATGCATGGAGGTCCGGTCGCGCCTTGCTGAAGACCTCCACGGTCTCCAAGAAGGCGAGTTTTGTGGTTGCTGTCAACACTGCTGGGAGTATGATTGCCAGGTACAGGGATGAAGGCTTTGCAACGGACCTTGCACTTGGAGCTGCATGAAGGCGGCACAGGGGCAATGCCACACCCCTCCCTGGACCAGCACAGGTCGACGAGCTGACACTGCTGGAGCACATCGAGAAGCTGGGCACCGCCTGGAGGTCTGAGGGGGAGTGGCTGTCCCAGCTGGACATCGTGAAGCAGGGGGACAAGCTGGTCGTCATGGACAAGGGCGAGGTGAGTTGCTTGTGTCGGCATGGTCGGCGAGCCTGGCGGGGTCGCCTGCGTCAAGCAAACCCTGCAACACACCGCCATTGCAACACCAGCCCAGGTATGATTCACTTCATGCAACCACACCCACAATCACCCTCAACCTCCCCGCTAACCTGCAGCTGGGCGTGTGTGGTGCGGCATGCAAGACCCTGGAGGCGGCCGCCGACGATATCCTTGCCTCGCATGACACCGACATCGCAGAGGCCCTCTACACGGTGAGAGGGCTGGGGTTTCGGAGGGCTGTTGGGGTCGATTGGCAGGCAGGCATGCGCTCTGGGCGGGCCTTGATTCCATGCCTCCAAGGTACAGTGCACCGTGGCTGAGCTTTTGGGGTTCTGACATGGAGATGGTGGCGAAGCACCCCTGCACCACTGCGAGGCAGCTGGAGCGAGGCAGCAAGGGTGGCTCCCCCAGGGCAAGCTACCCTCTGTCCCCCCCCGGAATGCCGGTGTGCAGGCGTGCGGCCCATCCCTAGCCCAAGCTCCCCCTCTCGTTCCCCCACATCAGGACCCCAACGCCCGCACCTTGCCCCTCCCCCCACGCAGGCCGGGACCAATCGCCAGGCCTTCACCACAAAGCTGTGCGTGGCGCAGTCCCATGCCTGTGCGGCCCCGCCACCCCCTCTCCCCGCCGGCTGGTCGCCCTACCCCGCCTGGGAGCGCAAGGCCGCGGACGTGCAGGACCTGGATCGGGTGATGGGCGAGATGAGCGACCAGGGCCTGCGCGGCAAGATGTACAGCAGGGAGGAGCTGACGCAGCAGCTGGAGGGGCTGGGGGAGGACGAGGAGGAGGAGGGTGGCGCGGGGGAAGGCGACGCCCGACCGGCCGCCGACGAGCTCTAGGTCGCTGAGCTGTTCGAGCACGGAAATGACAGGCGCCCGCTCGCGACGAGCACGGGCCTCGTGACCCTCCGCTGTCAATTCATCCAAGTATACATGGGCACGCGGGGGTCAGGGGAGGGGAGGAAGAGCGCCAGCATGCAGGTCGGGATTGATCAGGGCGCACTGCGGATGACAAGATACAGGGTGGAGGGGGATGACAGGGGGGTTGCAGCTGGCGAGAGAGCGTCCCCAGATATGAGCGGCACCAGGGGTGAGCACGGGGATGGGCTGGAGGCCTCGAGGGCCAGGGGCAGGCGCGGCGCGGCGACGCGCCTGAAACCCCAGGGCGTCGCCGTCGCCCCGCGGCGCCATGCCACCCCATTCCCCTCCCTTCACTCCATGCGCTCCCGGCGCGAGCTGCGCGCCCTCTCCAGCCGCCGCTCCATGGCGGCGTGCTCCTGGCGGTCCTTTTCCTGGATGCGCTGCGCGGCGGCCACCGCGGCCTGCGTCAGCACGAAGCTGAGGCTGCCGGCGTGCGCCTCTAGGGCGGCGGGGTCGTCCCCCTCCTCGCCCACGCCCTCCTTCACACTTGCCAGCGGGGCGGCCGGGCCGGGCCCCTCCTCGCGCCGGGCGAGCAGCGGGTTGGCCGTGGCCGCATCGGCCGGCGGCGCCAGCAGGGGATTGGGCGTGGCTGCGTCGGCGGCCACCCCGTCGGCGCCAGAGAGGCCCCCGCCGCTGGACCCCAGGCCTCCCCCGCTGCTGTCCGCCGAGGCGGAGCGCGCGCTGCCGGCCTGCGAGGGCCGCGTGACCATGGCGCTGCGGCGGATGGCCTTGGCCTTGGGAGCCACGACGCTGGTGGCCTTGCTGGACCTGCGCGTGCCGGGGTCCAGGCCGACCTTGCCGCCCGCCGCGTCCCACTCCCACTCCTCCAGCGACAGGCCGTGGGAGTAGGTGCGCGCCATGTGCTGCACCTCTGGCGGCTGGCCGGTGCGCGCCAGGCCCGCTGCCAGCCGCGGTGCGGGCTTGATGTTGGAGCGGCGCTGGGGGGGGTAGGCAGGGGGGTGTGGGGGGGGGCTGGGGGGGGCCGGGCCGGGGTGGCATTGAACGGACAGCATGCAGACGATGATTCGCAGAGGCAGACAGAGTGGGAATAAATGCGTAGCCAGGTGCGCTTCCGTTGCAAACATGCCGCGCTGCCCTACTGCCCCACCCCCCTTGGCTCCAAAACCGAGAGGCTCACCTTGATCTCACGGGCCTCCTGGCACAGGGCACAGCAGGAGCAGAAGCAGTGCACCATGTGATCGCTGCACGGAGACTCCGGCAGGGAAAAGGTGTGTCGAAGCTCCTTCCGGTGGTGCCCTCCCACCACTGCGGGTGCGAGGGGGAGAGGAGTAAAAATGGGGTGCCAGGGCCAGACCAAGACAGGTGTCACGCACCATGGGGATGAATCATGCGAACGGCGCGTCAGGCTTCCCCGCTCGCAGGTCAGCCCAATTGCTACCCCATACCGACGTACATGAGCAGAGGAGGAGGGCGGAGAGGCACATGTAGCTGCACTGGTATGGGCAGCATGTCGCAAAGCGGTCGATCCGCGTCGCGTTGTCCGCATGCAAGCACTGCGGACAGCACAGGCCCTCGGCCGTTAGATGGCAGTCCTCCCAACAGTCAAAAAGGCCCGTGTTCCACTCCTCCAGGCTGGACTCGTCATCGCCGGACAGGATGGGGGCGGACTCGGCGTGTCCACTGTCGGGGCTCGCCTCCGCCATCTCCGACCTATGCCCCGACCCCGGCATACATAAACGCCAATTTAGACCGCAGTACTTAGGAACAATGCCAAGTAAGAGCACACAGCGGGATCCGCCTCAGGGCCCAGGCTTGTTGGGGGGGAAATCAAAGGAACTTCAGCGCAAGGTTCTTAAAAAGAAAGCAGGATGTTGTAACTTTCATGTCCACGCCTGGGAGGTCCTGGGTAATCAGCCCTTTACCCTGAGTGTGTGCAGCACAGCGAGTACCATTTCTCTTTCCCGCATCGCCGATCTCTCAGAAAATAAGTCGACAGATCATCATGATGGCTCAGGCAGTGATTTCGGGACCCCTGAACAGGGTTTCCGTGGGTTTGCGGGGAACCGCCAGCCGGCCAGGTTCTCTGGCTGGCAGGCCCCTCGCCCCCACCTCATGGGTGCGTGGGACAGGGCACAGGCTTTCAGCATGATCCCTGATGTGATCTCGGCGTCCCTGCATGATGGTCCCATGCTGACACGTCGCCTGGACCCCCCTCCTTTCCATAGGCCCCCCGGCCCACCTCCCGCCCCGCCCTTGTGAGGGCGCAGAAGAACATCCGCCCCACGGCCAACGACGCCAATGTGGATGTGGATAAGTATGTCAAGGATCTGCAGGCCAAGGTGGGTTGGAGGCGATGGGGATGCTGTGGTGCATGAAACTAGCCCAGTTTGAAAGCCACTGTGCCAGGGAAGCCAGGGGTGAGCTGCAGGGAAGCCAGTCCCGGTGCATGCCAGCCCCTTCTCCCACCATCCATCACCCACCGACATCGCCCTCTCCTGTGCTTGCAGTGGGACAAGGTAGACAACAAGACGAGCGTGGTCGTGTATGGCGTTGGCGCCCTGGTCCTGCTCTGGCTTTCGTCCACCATTGTCGGAGCCTTAAACTCCGTTCCCCTGGTGAGCATCGGTTCGTCTGCATTGAGTGGTTGTATCGTGAATGGGGTGCCTTGCGCGTCGTGTTTGAGTGTAGTGATACATTTGCTGGGTCGATTGATGTAAGCCCACCTGTTTCACCGCAGGTCCCCCGCCTGCTGGAGCTGGTGGGTCTGGGCTACACCGGCTGGTTCACCTACCGGTACCTGCTGTTCAAGTCCAGCCGGGAGGAGCTGCTGGATGACATCGAGAGCCTGAAGAGCAAGATCGCGGGCGAGATTGAGTCCAAGTGAGCTGAGCAGCGGCTGGCGCCGACTCTGGGACTCAAATGCTCCTGGTCGCCATGCCACCCTAACCTGCGGCTGCCACGGCCTGCAAACCACGACGAGTTGCATGTTTTATGATCCGTTTGTCTGCCACACGCTTGCTATTGGCTTGTGTCGCCACATCCACTTGTTTAGCGCGGTGCAAGTGGACAAAAGGAGACGAGAGAGTGATGGAGGGGGAGAGCGTGTGATGCCATGGGGACAATGAAATGCAAACAGCAGTTGTGGGAGCACTTCTGGTGCTGACAGGGCAGGCCCCAGGTCGACCACGACGCCCCGGGGCCGGCTAGGTGGGCAAGCCATGTGTGCCCAGACTCTCTGAGGATGTCTTGAGACATTGAGTCCAGACTTTCCTGTTCAGTCCCAGGCGTCAGTCAGCCGCAATGTGCAGCCTGGCAACGCGCGCCAGCACCTCCTCGACGGCCTCCCCCAGCCGCCCGCACTCTCGCTGGAACTCTGCCACGTTCTCCTCCTCCAGGGCAGCAGCCGCCTCGAGGGGTGCGATGGCTTCGCGCACTCCTGCACAGCAGGCCTCCACTTGCTGAGCCAGGTCCGACTCCATGTCTGTTTGGACGATCTGCACGGAGGGGTTGAGATCAGGCAAGGCTGGCTGCTGGAGCTGGGGAGGGGCAATCCCGTCACAGACATCATGGTGTGGATGCGTGCCGTTAAGGGCCAATGCTCTGTTGCTGGGATGTGGGTATCCTGTGGCATACACAACTTCTCTATGCAAAACTGCAATGCGCGGTATCGTCCAGATGCCACCCTTCCTTTTTACGCCACCTCCCGAGGCCAACAGAGAACGATAATCCACCCTCCCAAAGCATGGCGACAACAACACTACATGCCTCGAGGATGCCCAGCGTCAGCTCCTCCAGCCGGCGCTTGGCCTCCGCGCGGCGCAGCGGCAGGTTCACCACCGACACGTAGCCCACCGCGGAGGCCAGCGCCAGCGCCAGTAGGTCCTCCAGTGTGGTGGGCAGGATGGTGGTGGCGAAGAACCCCGCCACGCCCGCGCCCGCCGCCGTCCCTGCGGTGCCCACCACCGCCTGCCGCACCTCCTGCACCAGCAGGGCCTCCGTGGCCCTGGCCTCCAACCGCTCGATGCTCGCCAGCGCGGCGCTGGGCGTGCTGGTGGTGAGGGCGGACGACGGGGTATCGATCGCGTGGGGCTGATCATCCGCAGCCTCCATCGCCTGGCTCTGCTGCTGCCGCCACAATCTATCGGGGTGAGTGGAGTGGATGAACAGCTTGCCTTAGAATCAGGGTTTTTCAATGGCGCATGGGTGTCCTGGCAGACCGACCACGGCAGCAGCACCTCAGCCATGCTCCCAATCGCGGCCACGGATCGAATCAGTCCCATCCAGAACTAACATGTCTTTGCACCTGCGCTGCTCGGCGTCCAGCTCCACGGTTGCAGCAGGCTCCTCTCGGCCGGCACGGGGATCGTGGGCACGCCGGCCCTCCTCCCAGTCCCTAGCAAAGGCGGCGTAGTTCTCCGCCTGGCGGCCGCAGTTAACGCGCAGCCAGGCGGCGTGCTCCGACACCAGGCCACGCAGCTTCTCCGCGACGCTCCCTGGAAGTGAGGGAGTTGAAGGGTTGGATATCAGAGATCAGCGACCTCGAAGAGGTCGCTCTTGGTGTGGCCCCTCACAGGGGCTTGGACATCTGGCAGCGGTCACGCCACTGAATTTCCAGATGGTAGGGATGCTACATCACCATAGCTAGGAGTACAGGCCGGATCCCGTCCCACCACATGTCTCCCCCATTCTCCGGCATATATCAGGGGATCCTTCCCCACCCCCAAAAACAACAATCAAACCTGCTGGACCGTAGCGCAGGGCCGCCGCAACCCCCGGCGCGACCCCGGCGCCCTCGCGCTCCCCCCCCTGCTGCGACTGGGCCATTGCGTCGCGCAGCAGGCCCGGCAGGTTCCCCAGCTGCAGCTGGTCGTCCAGTACGGCGGCCGCGGCCGCCAGGCCCTCCCGCGCCGCGTCGGCGACGGCCGCCCGCTGCACGGCGCCCTCGCGCTCCATGGCGGCGCGGAAGCCCTCCAGCTGGCGCCCGACCAGGGCCAGCGACTCGAGGTCGCGGGCCGCGACCTCAGCGTCGGCGCTCAGCTGCGCGTCGGCCGCCGCCAGCAGCGCGCGCAGGACCTGCATGGGCGTCTCCAGCTTGAGCCGGCCGCTCTCCCCGCCCCGCGCCAGCAGGCCCTCGATGAGGCCGCGCAGCGGCCCCAGGCGCCCGCCCTCGCCGGCGGGGTCGCGCTGGGCCAGGCGCGCCGACAGCGGCAGCACCCCCGCCGCGGGCAGGCCCAGGACGCGCTCCGCGGAGGCGGCGACGAAGGCGCGCACCTCCTCCACCTCACCCTCGGCCCCCAGCACGTCCACCTTGTTCACCAGGAAGACGACCTTCTTACCCCAGCGCCGGATGTAGCGCAGGAAGCGCACCTCGCTGTCCGTGAAGGGGCGGTCCGCGGACATGACGAAGAGCACCAGGTCGGCGCGGGGGACGTACTCCTCCGTCAGCCGCTGCTGCCGCTCCAGGATGACGTTTGTCCCCGGCGTGTCCACGATGCTCAGCCGCCGCAGCAGGTCCAGGCCCAGGTAGCGTGTGAAAATACCGTCCGCCTCCTGGTGCGTTTGAGGCAGGGGTGGGGAAAGGAAGTGGGAGGGTGGTGTGGGAGGGGTGGGAGGACGGTGGGTGGGCGTATGAGTGTCACTGAGGGGTCTCGAGCACAAATACCTCCAGGGAAGCATGGCCCGGTTTACTCACTCCGCCTCGCAAAGGAACAGTACAGGCTTTATATGCGCGTATTTCTGATAGCATAATCCGCCCCATGCCGTGCCCTTCATTCCCATCTCCATTTCCCAGCCCCAGAATGCCCCTCTCCAGAAGAAAAGCAGGCCCACTCACCTGCTGGACCTCGGGCTGCTGACTGCCGGGCTCGCGCCACCTCAGCAGGCTGATCTCGTTGGTGGTGGGCAGCACCCCCTCCGCCAGCACCCGCTCGCCCAGCAGGGCGTTGATCACCGCCGACTTGCCGCTGTTGAACTCGCCCACCACCACGATGAGGAAGGGGTCGTCCAGCTGACTCAGCGCGTCCCTCACCAGGTCCTGGCCCTCCAGCGAAGGGGTGGCCTGACCCACGAAGGCCAGGACCTTGGGATGGAAGGGGGGGGGGGGAGGGAGGAGAATGATCCGGGAAGTAAATCAAGAATCGCATGGGGCCGGCTTGCCTGCAGCCTGCTGCCAATGCAAGGGGAAAAACTTGATGAAATTCTTGACCCAAGCAACCCATAAGAATGAGGTGGTTCCCTCAGAGCCTGACACTTCCCCGCTGCACCCTGGCCTCACTCGCTGCAGGAGCTCCCTCTCCCGCTCCACCAGCTCGTCGTCACTGCCTCTTCCTCCAGGCGTCTGCTTGGAAGGGGCCCCAGCTTGCCGCACAGCCGCCGAGGCCGAGCCTCCACCCCCCGCCCGGCCGAGCGCGGCGGCAACAGACGGTACCAGGGCGTGCGACCCCTGCGCAAGCACAGCGCCGTCTGCTGATGCCAGGTGACTGTCGAGGGCGGGGCCCTCGGCTCGAAGGCCCTCCAGGCTGCGCAAAAGTGGAATGCTGGTGGAGCTGCGCTGAGCCTCGCGGTACGAGCCCATCAGCTCGGCGGCCGAGGCGCTGCCGCCGCTGGAGGACGCAGCGTCCTCCTGGCGTGTGTGGAGGAATGGAGTGGGCGGCAGGTGGGCACAGTGCCATGCTCGGATATCCATGGAGATCCCCTCTCCTTGCTCCCAGGCGACACTGTGCTGCCCAGTCTCAGACACAGCGAATGGATTCCCGCTTCATTCCTGGTCTTTTAAAACCCTCCCCTATAACAGTCAAGCACGAACCTGGACGACGATGAAGGAGGCGCCGTCGGCCGCCGCCCTGGAGGCCTCCTGGCGGCTGCCCACCGCGGCGCCCACCAGCGCGCCGCCGCCTCCCAGCATGCGCTTGGCCACCAGCACGGGCAGCGCCCCGCGCATCAGCAGCACGCCATCGGCCTCCGTGGCGGAGGCCACGTCGACGCGGTCCCTGATCAGCACGGGGCAGCGCCCTCGCACCGCTGACAGCGCGGCGACGGCCGCCTCATACAGGGCTGCGGGGCCATGGGCGTCCTCCACCAGCACAATGCCGGTGGCGCCCTGTGCCAGGGCTGCCTCTATGGTGTCGGTGTCCACGGAGCCTGAGTCCAAGGCGACGAGCAGGGCAGGCAGAGCCAGCCTGGCCTGCCGCTTGCCTGCAGGGTACAGGGTGGCCCCAGGGGCAGCCGGCCCGGTCTCGCCCTGCCCAACGCACACCAGTACATGCATTCTCGGGCATTGCAGGGGCTTGGCTGTCGCGTGCCCCGGGGTGTCGCTTCTATGGGCACGATCACGTGAAGGGAGTTCCGGCACGGGCCTTCCCACACCCCTTCCCCGCACTCGCCCCGGGGGCGTGGTAGACAGCGTGAACGCCCGCATGACGGTGCGAAAAGGTCATGCCTGGACGGGGCATGGCGTGGGGGTGACCCACGCGGTCCAGATCGGCTGCCAGGGAGCGCCCAGATCGGTTCTGATGTCGGGACAGATGAGGGTGGCGGGAGGGTGCAATCCACTGTTCCTGCATGCCTCATTATTCAGGACTCCGTAACACGCGACCACCGCGGTGCCCGCCTCCGAGCCTGATTACACGCTTGCCGCATTCTCCTTGTTAATTCAGTAGCATGCAGTATTGTGGAGCACCTCGTACCGGTCTTCCACCCACCATGGCTGTCCGTCTCCTGGCCCCGATGTACCGGGCCGCCCTCACACAGCTGCGTCCGGTAATGGCGATCCGCCCGACCCTGGTGGCACCTAGGTGCGCTGATGCGTGTCACATGGGAGCATGGCTGTTTGCATGGCGGAGATTTGGGGCAGGAGCGTTCCCGTGGCCCGGACGGAAACCCCACCACCACCTCCCCTCCTGCCACGCAGCCGCTGGAGGATGCAGACGGCTGCCTACTCCGCGGAGGCCACCCCCGAGCCTCGCGTGGAGAGCCAGGCCAGCTCAGCTGGGGAGCCAGGCCCCGCGCCCGGGGATGAGGGATTCGCCACCCGCAGGGTGTTTGTGCACAACCTCCCCTTCGAGACCAAGTGGTCGGACCTGAAGGACCACTTCAGCGCGGCGGGCCCCGTCGCCTTCGCCTCCGTGCGCCCCAACAAGGTGAGTTCAGCGGGGTCGGGCGTTGTTCTTGGGCCTGGCAGGGGTGATGAGATCTTCGGACCTGTCAATGGTGCCACAGGCGGCGCTTGGATGCTGTGAATCGCAGACCGCATCGCCCACCGTTCCCATGCCTGGACTCCCTTCGTCGCCATG